AAGTGCTTTGCCCGTCGTGGCGTCCTCCCCGCTCTTCGTCCTTTGGAGGAATCGATGCTCGTATTCCGACTACTATCCATCTCTACGCTCTTTGGAGATCCCAACAAATCCATATCCAAATCCACGTCAATACCTACGATCGCTGCGAAAACGGGATCGAGTTTTGACTGGAGACAATGCGAGGTGAGGTTATCCAAAGAATCGACCGATTCGGATTTCATCAGATCTTTCATGATTGATTTTAAGCGATTCAAGAGCCATAGACTCTCCGATTTCTCCATATCTTCATCAAAGATGGCGAAATACACAAACGGATCATCGATCGAGAAAGCGTACGTCCTTTTGCGGACTGTATGAGAGAACATGGAGTGATTCGGAGGCGAATTCTCGATGCATCTCAAAGCTGTGGCTTCGATTCCAGGCTCCGAAGAGAACTCAGCGAGGACCACCATTCCCTTGGCAATGCAAGTGTAGAACAAGAGACTCGGATTCGAAATCATTCTATTGATTCAAGCGAAATAGAACCAAATCCGATACGATCCAATGGAAATCCCCAGAGGAAAACACGGGACGATCTCCAAGTCAGATTTCCATTGGAAATTCCGAATCGAAACAGAGAAAATGATGCGATCTCGATCAAACAGAGAGCGAGATTTCTGAGATTTTACCTCTACAGGTCCATTCTCTCTCTCTCTCCTCCTCCTCTTCCTCTGCTCAATCTTTTTCTCTCTCTAGTCTTTGCCAATTTTCTAGGGAAACAAACAAAAATGGCGGAGGGGAGATCAAGTGCTGGAAAAACTGAAAAAGAAAATGGAAACAGAATAACGACTCACGTTTCATAAACACCCTCAGGTAAGTCGATATTTACATAAATACCACAGCATTCATCAGCCACGTGTCATAACAAAGTCCTTTCACGGCCCAAGCCCGTAAACAAATGATGTGGGACTACAACTTCTTAGGCCCACACCCAATCTTTTCAAGGCCCAAGCCCATAAACAAGGTTCCAAGCTCTTGGAGTCTTCATTCCCGATCAAATCACAAATCAGATTCCTCCTCCATGACCTTTGTTCTTCCCCGCCCGAAGTTCTAATCTGAAGAAAATCCACTCGATCAACCCGTTCGGACTCTAGCGATATTCCGAAGATGATCCTCCTTCCTCGTACCGGAGACAAGACGAATCTCGGTGGATCTCTGATAACTTCGGCGGAGGCTTGTCGAGATCCGGCGAGGGTTAGTGACCATTCAGAAATCGGACAGGTATCTCCTCCTTTTCAGACATGAACTAAGATTACGAGAAAAGCGGTGGTGAATCTCTCTTCACAGATGGTTGAATATTTAATTCCGGAATTCTGATTGGCGGAGGATCTTTAATTCCGTTTTCTGCGCTCTAAACAACCAATCATGTTTACTTAACAAAATCTAAAATTCAAAACTTGAACTTCATCTTTTTTATTACTAATATTGATACAACGATAATACCAAATCAAAAGCGGAAGATTTAGTTTAAGTTTGGATATATCTCATTCTCTGATTAATAAATATAATTATTCGTTTATTTACATAACCAAAACGAAATAGAACTTCTAGTCGTTTGTATAATCTTGCCATGACTAAGTAGAAAACATTGTCTATAAATTCGGATCTCTGTTCACTGTTGTTTGTCTTGCTTGTGTTTTCTGTTCAAGTAAAGAGTAACAGCATTCGTCTCCGCTCGTGTTGGTTTGTATCATATTTCAAGTTTCGTGCTTTGAGCTGCTAATTCCCGGGTTTTCATTGAATTATCTCTTCCGTTGCAATTAGAATTCGGATTGTTTTCTGCAGAATTGATAGAGAAGATCGTGCACAGGACAAACCCTAGGTAGTTTTTCGATTTACCGATTATGTATTCGAGTATTTGTTGTTTTCTGGACAGAACTTTTGTCTGAGTTATCCAAACTTGGTAATTCAACCGGGAAAACGGGACGCAAAGCGTATGTCCCGCCCCGAGTTCGAACCTCAAGTTTGGTAAGGAGCGTATATTCCAAATCACTTGGCTCCAGTTTCCGGGATTAGTGTAGTCCTTGGTGTCTGAGTTGTGTTACTAGTTTCTGGGTTCTTCTCCGTGTTTTTTTCAAAGGTTGTTTGTCTTGTTCCAGAATCAGAAACATGTCCCAGCAGAATCACAACACAGACACGACACACACTAAGATATTCGTGGGAGGGTTGGCTTGGGCGACAAGGACCGAAGGTTTGCGTCGTTTTTTCGAGCAATTCGGGGAAATCACCGAGACCCTCGTGGTCTGTGAGAGACACACCGGACGATCCAAAGGCTACGGTTTTGTAAGTTCTCGTCTTGTCTTTTCATCCGTACGGGTTCTTGAATTGTTTTTTTTTTCTCCTCGCGTTTGATGGATGGTTATTATCTAGTGCGTATGATATTCTAGGGTTTATGTAATTCACGGCTTCGGCACTCGTACTTGTAGGTCACGTTTGCAGAAGCTAATTCCGCGGCGAGAGCGTGTCAAAATCCGTACCCGATTATCGACGGGAGGCAGGCAAATTGCAATCTTGCTTACCTCGGGGCTAGGAGGAACAGCCAATTGAATCAAACAGGTTAATTTCAGCTCTTATTTACCGTTTTATGATCTGATCGCATGAATTATATAACTGTTGAGGCCTTTTCTCTGTTTTCTAACTGCAGGCACGGGATCTAATGCACCGATTTATATTCTTTATCACCACCACGAGGCATACGCTCCATATACTCAATGGTAAATATATATCATCTCTCGTATATATATATATATATACACACGTATATGCTGTGTGCAAAACCATGGCTAAAACTGGGTGTCTTTTTTGTTGGGTTTAGGTATTATCCGTACATGGCATCGCCACAATACGACCAGGTGAGTATTTCTACGTGTGAAAAAAGACGATACTTTTCATGAGACACGCCCTTATGAAAATATGGATTATTGTGCAGAACTATTACTACTACCTGCCGCAAGATTGGCCGTACATGAGGAATCACATGTACGGACAGAGCCAAATCGGGCAATGAAGGAGAGGAACCATTTGCATCTGCTTGAAAGACAACGAAACCCATAGTTCGGTCTTTGGTTCTGTTTTAATGGAGCTTCTTTTACCTCTTTTCTTCGGAAATTATATAATTAGTTGTAATAACAGTAGTGATTATTGTTAGGGTAAAACCATAAAAATTCATCAATTAACAAAGTTTCTAAATTTTTTTGCTTAATAAATTTATCTTTAAATTTGTAAAATTGTCATTATAATTTTTAAATTTATTAATTGATCTGAGATTGATTCAAAAAATCAAATTAAAAATTATAAAGATAATTTATAAATTTACGAAATATAGTGATATATTTTGCAAGTGTCATTATAATTATAATTTGTAAGTTTATGCAGATAGTAGAGTATAGAAAGTGGAATATTTTAGGTTCACTCAATTTTAGTAATTTTTTATATAACGCGAAACCCAAGTAAGCGAACGCTAGTGGAAATTAGGGATTGCCATTCGGTTTGATTACCAGTAAACCGAAACTTATGAATGGAAGATGAATTGAATCCAATTTGATGCAAAAATATTTTTATAATTCAATCCGAACTAAATATAAAAATGACAGGAATTTTTTTTTTAAAAAAAGAAACATTTTTATCATTTTAAACCGAAACCAAATCGAATTCCAACCCAGCCAAATCTAACATAAAATTCGAAGGGATAGAATTGAATCCGAACCGGAAAAAACTTTGAGAGATATTATCAAATAAAGAAATGGTTGAGAGGTTTTCGGAGCTTTTGTCGAGAATCTTCCTTCAGAAAATGACAAACAAAGACCGAGGAATACGTTGGATAGATTTATGGCAACGTTTATAACGTTTTCTTCTTCTTTTTTTCCTGTCTTGAATACGACGTCACATTGATAGATATTAGAATTATTTTTTTTTTTAAATAATGATTGTCGTGTATTCGAGCACTGTTAATTTTGAAAGCTTTCAAAATAATCTTTATCACCAATATATATACATATATATCACAAACACATTCATTGAGATTTTTATTTCTCAATAAACTTATAAAAAATATGGATCACGAGATTATTCATAAGGGATAAAATCTAAACATTATCACATATTATCAGAAATTTTATTTGTTATAGTCAAAGGTTTTGTATAGGATAACTATAATGTAATATTATAATATTAAATAGGGAGATTCACATATTAAATATTGAACTTTAACCAAACTTCCAAATTAAATACTTAACTATCCCACTTCCAAATTAAATACTCAACTATATTGAAATTCACAAATAAAAACTAAACTTTTCAAATTTTAACATATACCTAAAGGATAATCCAAAATAAAACCCTTTACTTTTTTTTCATCACAATTTAAACCCTATACTTACATTGTTAAATTAATGTACTAGTTATTACCTAGTACTAAATAAAGTTAAACTTTTTATAATTACATTGTTAAATTAATGTACTAGTTTTGAAAGTGCATAGGTACAAATATATCATTTTTATTTAGTATCTGATGTATTTTCGTGTCATTCTATCCAACAACCCAAAAGTTGAATGGGCCATGGTCCATTTCATCCAAGGTAAGGGCGTGGTGCTGATTTAGTTTTAATTGTATAAATATGGAATTTAAAAAATGAAAATTAGAAACTAATAAAATGAACACTATAATCGGGAGTGAAACTAAAAAGAAATTGTCATGAGATATTAATATTATAATAAATATAGAAAATATTAATTTAATATGATCATGTGTGTAAAATAAATATTATTTGTACTGATTTTATATCATCACAATATATATGTTTTCATTATATTTTTATTTTATTCATAATAATTTACTTACGGATGCTAATGATCCAACTAATCATAATCATATTACTAATTTTAGAGTTTAGAAAGTCATTTTTTTCGTTTGGTTATTTATATAAATATAAAGCCGTTCCCTTTCATCTGCTATTTTTTCCGAATTGTTTAGGTATATATTAATCTTAGCAAATACGCAACGCGCACATTTTCTCGGGTTATATAATTTAAATATATATATATATTTGGAATTATCGATAGAAAACATTGACAATTGTTTGTTGAAAACAAATAAATCAAACAAAATATTAAATAGCCATCGACTTTTCTTCTCCGGGTGGTTAGAACTAAATAAATAAATATATCCTCGTGCCGAAAATTTTAAAAATATACATGTATAAACATATACACACACATATATATATATATACACCACGATATGTACTTGAGGCCCGCATTCACATTCCAGTGGAATAACAAATGAATAAAATATAAATTTAGTATCCGGGTGGTTAAGACACAATGAATGCACCGCAACATGCAATTATGTTTTTCATGTGATAAAGATGATGTAAAAAATATGGAAATAAATCTTCAACCAAATCTATATTTTAAGTTATCCATATCTCACCATATATGTTATATTCATACATAAATTGTGTTGACAATCCTCTGTGTGATTATTGTTTCAAAATTCCATCACGATGAGTACTATTTAAATTTAATATATATAATCAATAATATCTACACAAAGACCTGACTAAAAAACGATCGAGTCCAATTCACACCAGATAATACAATGATATATGTATGCATTTAATTCTATGAATTTTAAATTCATCTGTCATCTGTTATTGCAGACAGCTATCACGTAAGAAATAATATATTAGTTTTTAAATTAACAAATAGTTATATTAAATATTAAAATATGTACAACAAATATCTCAATTCTTTAAATTAAAAACAATTTCTTATTTATCTACTATATCATTCGAATAAAATTATTTTCTAATAAAAATTGTTATATTCTGTCAAAATTCATGTAAAATAGTTGTAAATAATTTGAGTAGTATTATGGATTGTGTAATCAAACATAGTGTATAACATTGTTTTCAATTTTAAAAACTGAGATATTTATTCGTCATTTGATCGTATTGTTTATTAATTTTAGTGTACAAGTTAGAAATTTTTTTATGGGAAATTTCAAAAAAGAAAAAAAGAATGCATACATGAAAACTAAACATAAAAAGATTAAACAAACAAGGAAAAATCAGACTTAGAAACGCGGGATTAATAATTGTAGTTTAAAATAATAACAAAAATGGCAGCTGTTTTGAGATATTGAATTAAGTTCTATTAATATATAAATTAATTATAAATTTTTTTCCAACTTCATCGATACTGTTGAATTAAAAGCCGAGGAAGACGACCCCATCAATCTCTCTGATTCTCTCCTTTTGGCCCTCGTTGTCTTCTTCGCCGCCATTTCGATGGGATCTAACGCCGAACTCGAAGTGCCCACCACGACCAAGATTCCCCAGACGCAGTACGAGGAAGATGGTGAAGACGATGAAGTCGGGGACTTGGAGAGGAAAGCGCCGTCGCTTCGCCGGGAGAAGAGGACCATTAGTACGGACAGCAGCACCATCACCGTCACCACCAGTGGATCGTCTTCTTCGAGCTCTTCTTCCTCTGATGGTACGGACAGTTTCTGTGCGGATGTGCCCAACGTGAAGGAGCTTAGCGTTGACCAGAGCGACTCGGTGGCGGCGGAGAATTCGCCGGCTCCTGAGTTGCCGGAGCAAGACAAGGAACTTGGGTTTCACGGGGAGCACAGTGACGAGAAGAATGGCAGCGTTTACTTCGACGGAGAACAAGGTTAGTCAGCATGTCCGAGAAAAGTTCTTACCTTTTAGTTGAAATTTCTGGGTTCAAGGTGTTTTGGGTGGGTGGTTTATGGAAATTCAAGAAAACGACCGCAAATTTCTGTCTTGTTTGAGCTTAATGTAGTGTTTTTGCGCTTGTTATGTTCCTTTTTTTTTCTTGGAGATTTCGATGTCTTGCCTAAATCATTCGAATTGATTGGGATAATCAGCAAGAAACGGTTGGTAAATCACTGGTTTAATCCCGAAAGTTCGTGTA